CATCTGGTGAAAATTTCATGTCATTAGCACCTCTAGTAATATATTTACTGAGAAAAATGGTGACGTGTTCAATACTTATTTTACCAGCTGTACATGAGGCCCGTGGTTTGTGTGGAGGATGACTGCAGCTTCTGGCACAAAGCACAGCTCCAGATACTTCAAATGACTGAGTTCAACCAGCTGTAGCAGCCAGCTTAACTCCAGGAGTTAACTGTCAGTTAGTGTTCATCTAATGATTGGTTTGAGTTTCATTGAGAACAAAATTCTGGAGATCTGTAAACACATCAACACAAACAGTTTTTAACTAATTCTGAGGGAATTCCTACAGCAATAACAAATATTCCTCAATTATTGCATCATTTGCTCCCAAAATGTTGTCAAATCTTCAGTCGTTCTCATTTAATGTCAAAAACAGCTGAATTTATGATGAAAATAAATTAGTTTGTAAAATCAGCAGAGAAGAAGAATCAGTCGTTCTGACAGAGTGAAGTTAAATTAAGTGGTGGTTAAAATTAATCTATGAGCGTTTGTTCCCAGGTGTACGTTTGTGGTGGCTTTGGGACGAATGAAACTTTATTCACTGCTGAGTTCTACAACCCGGACACGGACCAGTGGACCCAGATCACACCCATGGACAACTATCGGATCGGGGCGGGGGTCATCACCTACAACAACCGGTTGTTTGTTGTAAGGACAGAACTGATTACACCTGCAGAGCTGCCGTTTAACTATTTGCATTAAAAAGATGCTTTAAATGTTTTAGAAATCATTCCTTTGTTTCCACTTCCACAGATTGGTGGCTACAACGGTGACAGGCACACCTCTGGTGTTTCTGTTTATGACCCTGCATCCCAAACCTGGCACAGTGTGGCTTCGATGCTGCACCGCCGCATCAACTTTGGTGTGGCGGTGTTGGAGGGCCAGCTGTACGTGGCGGGAGGCTTCCACGGAGACAAGAAGCCGTGCTCCAGAGTGGAGCGCTACGATGGGAAGAATAACAAGTGGCACATTGTTGAGAACATGGAGGCTCCACGAGGCTCCCTCAGCTGCTGTGTGGTGGACAGAAGCTCCCTCACTGCTGCAAATAAATAAAACACTCAATATATTTTCTGTTAAAATGAGCTGAAGCACTGAATCGTTTTCCTTCCACTTCACATTAATGCTCTGCTCTGTGTCAGTCGATAACATAAAATATTTTGATGTTTGTGGTTCAGTTAGACAGAAACCAGAAAAACTCAAATTGTGACAGAATGTTTTCAAGACACTGTAAACCAGTAAGTGACACGTATGGGATCAATCTTGTGCCAGCAGGAAGTGAATCTGAACTGCTCACATTGGGCCTCATGCAAGAACATGTTCGTATTCTTCTCCTAAATTTCTCTTACTTTTGTTCGTACAAAAGGTTCGTACGAACATGTCACGTCAGATTCAACAA